TGAAATTAAGCCTTAGATTCTTCGGTCCCCTTACATGGTATATGAGATGATGTGTGCAGATGAGGTAAAATGTGAATTGGGTAAACCAGCTCACTAGAGGAAATCCTTGGATTAGTTTTATAGTGTCTCTCTTAAAATCCAAGGTCAGAGTTGACTTCAACTCCTTATCTGACCGATGATGTGAGCCTAACAAACATACAACTTATTGATCTAGTCACTGGCTACAAAGGTAGTCTAACCTGGCTTTTTGGGATTTAGTCTGGTGGATCACCAGACTTTCCATATTTTTAACTCATTTATATGCTAATTAGTAAAAGGAAGTAAGAGTATAAATTATCTACTATACTCCTGGTACAGAGGAGACATTTTATGTTGAATAAGGACATTTCCCGACATAACAAGAATACCATTATCACAAAGGAGTAATTAATGTTACTGCAGTAATGTAAAATATACAGTTCATATTAATGATTTCAATTTTTTCCCAAATTTGTAGCTTTAAAAAAAAAATCAAAGATTCTATTGAGGTACATGCATTGCATTTGATTATTTTGTCTTTTTAATTTGTTTTTAAAGGATTGTATTTTCTCTGATTATTTCTAGCTTTTTATTTCATTTCATTTTGGTGGGTTTTTGTTCCTTTGCTCAATGTCATTTATAATCCTTCACAAAATATGGCTGTTCTTGGGCACCTTGTAATTTAGTATTTGCTTCTAAGATGATTTGGAGTACTTTTTCAATTTTTTCATACCATACTGAGTTTTTTGTGCACTCCAGAGATTTTAAAAAGTGTTCTGATTTCCAGTGTTTTTTAATATTTGTAAATGCATTTTAATTGTGGTTAGTTTATGTTACAAATTTGTTTTACAAAAACAGCCTTACAATCAGATTACAAAGATTATTATACTTTTTTGTCTTTGTTTTCCTAATTTGAGTCAAAATGTTGCTCTTCAAAGTCACTTAGAGCTGCTAATATCTAATGGCCATAGGTACTTTATACACCAGGCTCTTCAAGGAGGTTGTACCACACATTCACAACACAGATTCTTTTACCTGCATTCCATCCCAAGACTCGAAACTCCTGGCCAAGTTCTTCTCAATTTGCATACATTAAAGTTCATATTTTGAGCTGTCGAGTTATTTGATCTTAACAAATGCATAAGGCATATGCCACTTTCTCCCATACTGATTTTCATTGCCACCAAATTCCCCCACACTTCCCTAGTCAAACACTGTCCCCTTATCCTAAACAGTGAGTATCCACTCATCTCTTTCCCACCCCCATTACTTTTTCCATTATGCAGAATATCTTTAGAATTGAGTCAAGCAATATGTAATCTTTTGCTTTGGCTTTTTTCACCTAGTAAAATGCATTTAAGATTCTTCCATGCTGTTGTGTGAGCTCACCCCGTTGTATTACTGTATGAAAATATGCACATTGTATAGACAGCTCACAGTTTGTTCATGTGCAGAGTTATTCACTTAGGAACCAAATTTGTTAAGTTCAGAGAAACCCTAGGGATGAAATCAAGGGAAAACCAGAGAAACTTCTAGTACTTCTCTCCTGAGCTTAATCAAATTTTAAAATTCTTACCAGAAAATTTTAATAGCCAAAATCTCCCTTGTCAGGAGTTTCTTATCACCCAAGCTCTCTTCTTCCCAGGCTCCAAGTTCTGACTTCACAAAAAGTTCAGACCAGTCCCCTGATCTCTTCTGTGTATCTCTCTAATTCCATGCGACCCTAAAGAACCTAAGATGCCCATAAGTAGAAAATATCACCAAAAACTCCAACGTGTACACCAAAGACCCACAGGCCAGGCATAGGCAAGTGACATGAGCACAGCAATGCAGCAGGCCAACTCAAGATCCTGTCCCTCACAGCAACATCAGATAACATGCAGAAACCAATAGAATTAACTTTTTCAGCAGTCTGGAAATCACTCAGAGTTCTTAAGAAACCAAGGAAAGATTATTCAAGAGAAAGGGCAACTTTAAAACATTGTGTTTTGGGTCTCCCTGCTGGTGCAATGGGTTAACGGGCTAAGCACAACACTGTGAAGCTATCCACAGCCTCTGCAGCACCAGTTCAATCCTCAGCAGGCCAGAGAGCAACCCACATAATGAAGCAGACCTCTCCTGCCTCACCCACTGCTCCTCTCAGCAGTGTGCTTCAGTCACTCTTGCCTGTTCTGCTCCCCACTCTGTCTGATCAATCCTCTCAAACCGTCAATCCCCCCACCCCATACTTCTGGCCTGTATCCCAATTCTTGTATGCATAAGTAAATAAATCTTTAAAAATAAATAAATAGATAAATAGATAAATAAATAAATAAAATATTGTGTTTTTATTTACTCTTGTCCACATTTTACCCTACTTGGCAGCAGTCTTAAAAAGGACAATCTTCATTTCCAGTGTGGAATGAACCCAGCCCTGGATCTCCAGAGATCAGAGCAGACCAGATTTATAAAGCATTTGCACATGTCTGTCCTAACCTGGCTGGGGTCACCAGAGAACTAAGGGATGTGCTTGCCTTTGTTTCACCTCATGTGGAACTCCTCTAGGGTGGAAAGCAGTGCCGTTGCTCAAGTGTTTTTTTTTTTGTTTGTTTGTTTGTTTACAAAACCTGCAGCCTCCTCCCTGATGGTACAAGGGGTTAAGATGCAACCTATGAAGCAATCCACAGCCACTGCAGCACAAGTTCGAGCCCTGGCCAGGGAGCTACCCACATGGCGCAGCAGACCTCTCCTGACTTGCCCACAGCTCCTCTCAGCAGTGTACTTCAGTCAGTCTGCCTGTTCTTTTCCCCACTCTGTCTGTCAAAAATTTTCTCTTCATCACTATACCCTCCTGAACTTCATACTCCAAAGATGATCTCTGTATACTCTTTGCCAAACATTCTCTGGTCATACCAATGGGAACCTTTGTAAGAGAAACAGTGAATCTGCCATCCATCCAACTTGGCAGTCTGCTCATGCCACAGTCCTTTCCAGTCTGCCCAGCATGCATGCATTCTCATTGACTGCCCAGTCATACACTTCCCTTCTAGGTCTTCAAATACGATGACCACCTCCCTGAATTGGTTGTAGTGCGAGGTAAAGATTACTAAGTGGGTTTCTGTCAAAAATTTTCTCTTCATCACGATGCCCTCCTGAACTTCATACTCCAAAGATGATCTCTGTACACTCTTTGCCAAACATGAAGGGGTCAAATGTGAAGGGGTCAAAATGTAGGGGCTGAAAATATTTTTCAAAAAGGTTTAAGTATGCTTATGTTTGCTTTTGGAAAAATAACCTGACATTATAAAATTAGCAGAAGTTCATGTTAAAAATTCAAATTGTGCATAAGGAAGTAAAGTTAAAAATTAAATATCCCTCTAGAGAGGTCCCATCTATATATCTGTTGTATGTCTCAACAGTAATCTATTCACACACATCATCTATAACCATGCACTCTTTTATCAATAGTATTTCATACTATTGTCCTGAAACTTGCATTTTCCCATGTGATATATTGTAGCACATATCTACTGCATTTTCAATAATTTAATAGTCTCCTTAAAACTATGTCATCATTGTTTAACCACTCCCCTATTGATGGACAGAGTTGTTTTCAATTTTTTACATGAATAATAATATTGCAATATAATCCTTATATATATGCCTCTACATTTTTAAAGTACATATATTTAAATATTATGTTTTTTCTATATTTTATCAAACTGCTTTCCAAAAAGTTACATCAATTTATAATCTCTTGAAATGAGATTATATACCAACATTAAGTCTATCCGAAGAGCCTCAAGGCAGTATGTTTCCATTTCAGTGTTAACTCTCTGCAGATCTTGGAAAGGACACTAATGTGTCAGGATTCACTAACTGCATAATGTCCTGGAAATAAGGACACATCCCAAACTAGTCTTAGTGACTAATTATTTTCTCCTTTTCTGGAAAGACTAAACTGATATTTAAAGGTTTAAATAATTTCCCTAGACACACAGCTAATTAATAGGCTGAATTTTGAAACCAGACATATCTGATTCTACAACTTTATATCAACATCTACTCCCTCCCTTACAAGTGAATCTCCTCTCCTGTTTAATAAACTTAAAAATATTCAAGTGGCAGACTTATGGGCAGACCTAGAGAATGATTGTGATGTAATAGAAGAGGGGTAGAGTGGATGCTGGTAAGGCTGTGGAGATCATCAGGTTTAGCTCTTGTGTTTTAAAGATGAGACAAGATTCTCTATATTTACACAGTTTGTCCATCCTAGGCTAAGTAATGGATCTCATCTATTGATTTTCAATTTCTTACATATTTCCAAAGAAGGAGCTGGACTGGGACAAAAAAGGTGAATGTCAAAAGTATGTAAATAGTAATCAAGTGTTTATAGATAAACATGGTGAGGTTAGAATTGTTTACCCAGGAAACCAATGGACATAAGACCCATAATCAGATTTCTGAAAAAACACTCCAACTGTAGCTCAAAATGCAGAAATTATTATTCAAAAAATTACACTGACTTCTTGATGGCCACAACAAGCCTAAACAAAACCCGAAATCTATAGATATTCTAAGTAACTAATGGAACCATTAACTACAGCAGATACATAGAAAGAGAAAGACATACATGCACACACACACACACACACACACACGGAGAGAGAGAGAGAAAGAGGAAGCATTTGGTCATTAGAAGAATAGCTAAATCATCTAATCAGTTTTCAACAAATTACAGCTCAGTTATGTTCACATCATAGACTCCTGGTAGTTACTGTCCTGGTAATTACTGTCCCTCATTTCTACTTGTCTTTTGTGTTCTTAGAATAAAGTAGAGAATGTTTGAACAGAAATATCTGAGTTGGTAGAATCCAAAATCCTTCCTGAGTGAACTCTGCTTTTGAGAATAGCATTCTTGTTTTCAATGTTATAATACTTATTGAGGAGTTGGGGATAAGCAAAAAAAGCAATTACAGAAACCAGTCACGCCAACACCCAGGAGTCATCAAGTGATCTCTTTTGAAATTCCAGTCAAGTCTAGAGCCTAGGAAAGACTGGGACAGAGATACAAAATGTGGTTGCCCTGGATCAGCTGGAGGTAATTGGTCAGGGTGTCAATGGAGATCTACAGTTTATTTTGTAGAAATAATGTTTTCAATCCATGGAACATAGCTGTGGAGGTCAGTAAAGAGAACAATGTATCCCTTCAGAATACATCCGGATTCCCAAGACAAAATTCCTTGTAACTCATTGCCACATATAGCTGGTGCAGCTGTAATCACCTGCCAGACAGAGTAGAGGTCGTCAGAATATTCCCAAGAATCCTCAACTCCTGCGTAAAAATGAAAGTCGCTATATCTGCCATGCAAGGGGCCCAGGGTAGAAGAAAAATAATGTGAAAGCTTCTTTCTTCTGCACTAACTACCCCTACTAACTAGTAATCCCTAAAAATAAATTTCAAGTCAGTAGCTGGAAGGCAGCTTTCCACTCCTCCATAATCTATTCCTCTCACCTCCAACACATGATGGAGGAGAACAAGTTATTATTCTCCAGCCCCATACTCTCTGACTTCTTAGTCTGCCTACAAAATCCAGACCTCAGAGAAGGAAGAGAGTTAACAGAAACATAAAGACAAAGAACAGAGCTGAGTTTATGGGCAAGTGAAATAAGAAAAGTTACCTGGCATTCCTCTTTGTTTCCTAGTAGGTATCCTATACAGAACATGTCCTCAAGGGATTTTTCATGCAGTACTTTTTTGCAGTTTAAGTTATGGTTCAATTTAATCTTAACGCTCTGCAGGTTACCATCTGTGTTTCCTGAGTGTAAGAAATAAAGGAGACTTTCATTTGTGTTTGCATTTTCATAAGGCACCCTACCTCCACACCTTCAGGGCTTCTCAGTTAGAAAGGACCACAGAAGAAGAACTGATGGAATGTACCCTCGCTTAAACACAGCCACCTGCTCAGTTTACCACTTCTGACACGTGACCAGCAGCATCACAGGGATGGCTGATGGGAAGAATCTACACGTAAACAAGATCTGAATCCAAGCTCTGCCATCACCAAATTTGTGAGCTTTAACAATTAATCTCCCAGTCTTGGTTTCCTCATTTATAAGATATAAATCCTAAAACAACTTATCTTCGTGGTGTATGATGACAACTGTATGCTCTGCATAGGATACTTAGTGCCTGGTATATAATTAGTATCCAATAAATGGTTGTTATTATCATTGTTGTAATTGATATCAATATCACTCCGGTAAGATAAAGGGAAAATACTATTTTCACCAATTTACAAATTAAGATTCAAGGAAGTTAAAGAATTTGCCTATAACCTTATAACAAATGGCAGAAATAATACTCCAACATAGATCCCTGAACACCAGCCCCGGCATTATATGTTAAGGTAATACACACATGCAGTACCTTCATTTAGGATTTTATTCCCAGCATTCTAAAGGAGGAGCCCTTCTACTCTAGAGAGTCAATACTGTTGTTCCATCTCTAGCTTTCCACCTGTGCTTGGAAATTTGGAACTGGGCCTCTAAGTTCTGATTTCGGCCCCTTCAGAGATCTTAGAGATGTGAACGTATCTAAGAATACAACTCTTCTTTTGATAGTCACTCACCAAATTCTCTATTGCTTAACCAGGTGTAGACTATGCAATCTTTGGCTTCCTTTGTCATGAGAGAGGGCCACTGAAAAACTCTTTTGAAGAAGAAGGTGAAAGGTACAGATAACTTTATCAGCATCAGGTCATTTTTAGGAGAAGTGGCAGTGAAGTTTGGGTGAATGATGATCTTCTCATAAGGTATAATCTCCCCAATAGCATCTTGGATATTTGGGGAACCACCGTGAAAGATGATCTGGAGGTCTCTGAAGAAATGAAGATAAGAAAAGAATCATAGCTACCACATGTGGCCATGTAGGTTGTATACTACACAATTCAACCAGTGGCTAGTCACACAGGCGATAATGTGAATGATGCCTCCTGGAGTTACTCTATGCAATGACTTGAGATCTACTCTCATCACAATTCCAGAAAGAAGCGCCAATTCATGACCTAAAAACAGCTGGAAACAGCATGCAGATGGATAGTGAAGGTGTCAATGGGAATATTAGGTTCTGTTAGGGAGCCTCTTTGGGGGAGCTGGGGGGACAGGGACTGTGAGATCGTCAAAGGAAATGAGTAACAGCTTAGAGAGTTGAAATATTTTCAAGCTGAGGAAGATCATCTGAATATACTCTGCTCTATTCCTCTCTATCAAAACCTTGCTGGATTAACAGGGTTTTCTGATGGTACTTTAGCAAAGCTGGAGCCAAAAGTCCTGCATGTTCCACTGAGATCCAGTTGAGACCCACTCACTAACATGGCTAAGACCCTAAATTTAGAGTAAGACAGCACAAGTATTTTAGAATTTCCACAGGGAGTAAACTGAGTCCCAGGCTTGGAGTCTTAGACCAGGGTGAACTGGTGCCCACCACTTACGGTAAGAAGCAGTGTGCCGATGTTATCACCCACTGAGGGGCAATCGGAGTCCCCACACACGACTGGTAACTGGAATGCAGGTGTAATAAGAGAAGATGATCTAAACTTTCCGTGTCTTCTATATCAAATGAAATAACACCTGAAATACAGAGAGGAGAATCGAGGCATATAACCCAGGTAAGATCTCAGACTGCCAGTGTCAGATACTATCAGTGTTTATCAAAAGCTATTAAACACTTAGCCTCTGCTCTAAGATAATAAACTGCCATCCTGTGCAGACACTGAACTAAGTACCTCAAGTACTTTTTAAATTTTTTAATTTTCATGGAAAACAACTATAGGATGGATACATTTTACATTATTTTACCTTAGAAACTTAACATTGGGAAACTTCATTAAGGCCATGCTACTAGTGAATAATGGTTAGTTCTAGGATTCAGACTTCAGTTTGATTCCAAATACCATGCACTTCTCTACATGACCTCTCTGTTTTCTAGAATGGTTTAGCTCATGTCTAATCTCCCAAAGTTTGGCTCTATCCACAGTCACAGCACTGCAGCCTTTTCCTACAACTCCCTGAGAGTTGTGCACAGGATTGATCTGAGACTAGTCATCATGATTTCAACAGAAACAAACTAACTAGATAAATAAAATTAAAACATTAATTCTAGTATGAGAATAAAGGGAAAGAAGCTTTGTACAGATGGGCATTAGATATAGTATGGTACTTAATTCTCTGAAAACAGGTACCTGGATTCAAATTCTGACTCTACCCTTATGAGTAGTATGACCCTGAACAAATTGGACAAATTATATCATGACTTCCTTATTTCCACACTGAGATCATAACTGAGCTTCTCTCCTAGAGTTTTTGTGAGGATTAAATGTGGTACTATGTATAAAATGCTTGAAAGAATGCTTGCATGTAATGTATGTGCAATAAATGTTACTTTTTACTAATGCAGCTTTGAGGGTATTTTATGTTGAGAAAAGATAAAATAATGCTCAAAAGAAGACAAAACCCTTCCATAACCCTCCACGTGACTAAACATTAAATATTGACTGATAACTCCTATGTATTATTGCTATTTCTTTAATGATGACAGCTTTGGGTTTAAGTTAATCCTCATATCTCTTAAATAAAATTTTTGAGGTACCCAATTACCAGTTTTTCCTTCTGGTTGACTGCCTCTAATTCCAAACTGACACTTTTCTGTCATCCCATCTTCAGAATCACCCAGCACAAGCACAAACCCTGTGAGAGGCCACCACACAGCCCTGCTCAGAAGTGCACATCTGGGGTCTCTCTGGACTGTGTTCTCCCTGCCCTATAAAGCAAAATAAACTCCAGAGGTTTTTGGTGTTTTTAGTTAAGATTGTGTTATTGGTGGCATTTGACTGGTGGGTTCAGCAATGTAGATCAAATCCAGCTTCTTGGATTTAGGAAAGGACACAGGGAAATAGAAAATTATTCACCAAAAAATAAATAAAAATCTACACTCCCAGGCCTCTCCTGGTGGTGCCGGCGGTTGAACACAGCGCTATGAAGCTGTCCGCAGCCTCTGCAGCGCTGGTTCATTTCCGGCCGACAGGTGAGGGTCCCACATGGCGCAGCAGACCTCTCCTTTCTCGCCAGCTGCTCCCCTCAGCAGTATATTCCGTCAGTCTGCCTGTTCTGTTCCCCGTTCTGTCTCCGGTGAATCCTCTCACCCTCCCACACATTTAGCCTGTAACCCAGTTCTTGTATAAAAATAAATAAATCTTAAAAAAATAAATAAAACTCTAACAGATTTTTTTGAATCATTTTTAAATCAAGGCTAGAAGACCCTCTACTATATGACTGTTAGTCCACTTCTTTCCTCTACATTCCAGCTACACAGGTGGTTTTTTATTGCAATATATCACACCTCATAACCTTCACACTTGCTGGTCCCACTTCTCAAGCAACCTACCCATCCCCCTCCCACATAATTTGCTCACTCTACTCAGTGTAATATTTTAGGAAGCACTGTGTGTCCTTAAAAAAAAAAAAAAAAGACACTGCTTTTTTCATGTTGCATCAAGGAATGAGTTCAGAGAGGTGAGGGTATTTATCCCAGGCATCACAACCATTAAGCAGGGGAGCACAATTGTCTAATTATAGAGCCACAGTAATTTCATATGGTGAAGTTACTTAGGTTACGCTGTGCCTCAGTTTCCTCTTCAATGAAGTGAGAATAATAACTATTATCTCATATTTAATTTGTTATAAAATTAAATGAGTTAATATGCAGAAAACAGAGAAGTGTCCTTATGTAAGTATATGTTTTTAAGGTGTTGGCTATTCCTATTATTACATATTATGTTTTATAGCCCAAGTTAGAGCAAAATACTTGCTGGTTTTGTTTTTTGTGTCTTTTTATAAATCCCTGCCCCTGTTGGGACTCTTATCTCCACTCTCTATCCTGGTGTACCTCTGAGCTTCAATCCAAGAATCTCTACCAGACACTCAAAGGAGGTAGAAGCCCTTAATAAAAAGTTTGAGTTGTATCACAAATGATTAAGGCTTTACACAAAGTGGCTAGTTTTTTACCCAAACTTCCATTTGCCTCATCTGCCACCTCTGCCACCTCTCCCTCTCCCTCCACACAGCTCCATAGTCTCACCCCACCCCTAATAAGGTCCTCACCAAGCTGACAACTTTCATCACTCACCAGTCACCATCAGCAAGATTGACAGAATATACTTCATCTTGATGCCTGAATCCTGCCCTACAGATAAGGCCTAGTGGAAACTGTCAGACGCAACGCAAGGCTAGAACAAGGATAGAACTCAGGGACTCTGCAGAGTGGGAGCAGTAGAGGTGGGAGGCAGGTGGGAGAGCTGAGGATGAGGATTCTAGAAAATCATCTATCTAGAAGTTTCCTTCCAGTTGTGATCCTCATGCAAAAAAGGATACATCTGTCACACTTGCCTGCTCTCTTTTAGGCAAAGAAATCTCAGTCCAACCAAAACCTTCCCTATAGGAACATGAGTTCTAGGGACCTGGGTTTAATCCACATTGTTTGGGGGGTAAAATTCCAATGTGGGAGCCAGGAGAATCTTCCGTGGAGTTAAAAATTCCTCCCCAGTCCCTTCCCCTAGCCTTTCGGTTCTTCTTGCTAGTTCCTTCCCCACAATATATGAATGACTAGCACCTCTCCCCCTTCATGCCTCCATGACCCCTCTCCTTTCGGGGCTGCTCTGATGAAGCAGAGCTATGTCCCCACCCCCGTGTGTGATGCTGCCCCCCCCATGATTGTCACACTCAGCCCAACCCCCCACCCCTTCTCAGCACCACTTCAGAGCACAGGCAACATCTCACAATTCAGGCACTGAGTAAGAGTTCCCAACCAACACCACAGCCAGGGACTCATGTCAGATCTTTAAATCCATTCTTACTCGGTTGCCCTTTCAGACACAGCTTGCACACACATGCTTTCTCTCTCTCTCCCTTCCCCGCACCCCCCCCCCAATTTATTTTTGGTGGCAAAATATAACACAAACATTTCTTCCATAGAAAATATGTTACATGGCAGAATGAAACAATAATAGATCTAGAGTGCCTATAAGACTGAGATTCTGTGGAATGAGACAGGGGACACATCTGTATCCATATGTACATAAAATCGGACCACTAGTAATTTAATTTTAAAAATTACAAATATGAAGAAATGTTGAATATCACACACATCCACCTATAGGAGTCTAAAGTTATTTTTTCAAAGAAGTTTTAAGAGCAATGTTCATATCACATCAGTATTCTTAAAAAAAGGGGAAAAATAAATGGGATTGGCAGATTGAACATGCAAAGGCTAACGTAATAAAAGTTGTGCATGTTGGAACATGACCTTGGACGTAATTTGATAGGCCTGGCAAAAGTTTTTGGAGTGGGCAGCGGGGATAGGAGTAGCAAAGAGGGGGTGCAAGGGAGATTGAGGGGGGTCCCTAAATTGTGTTAGAGTTAATTTTATGGGCTTCAGGGAACTGCTGAAGAGTTTTAAGGAGACTAATATGATCTCATCTGCAGTCCAGAGAGTAAAAGACAGTTCTGAGAAAAGGAGAGATTGTCAAGGTGAGCAAGGGTGGGTAGGGACACTCATAGTTCAAGAGAGACAACACCACAGCCTGGGCTAGGAGGGCAGTGGTGAGAATGGAAAGATATGGGTGGCTTTAAGAGGCTCTGGAAGTAAGATGGACTTTGGAATTGAGTGGTAAGAAAAAGAGATCAAACAAATGGAACATAGAATTATCTCCTAAGAAAAAAAGGGCAGAAAAGTAGATTTGAAGGGTGGTAGGCACGAGGAGTTTCATTTGGGCATGCTAAGTATCAGGGACCTAGAGGAGGGACAAAACAAGACTTTCCAGATGGAAACTGTATGTCTGGGCAAGAGATGCCAATTTAAAACCCATAGAAAAACTGTTATCTTTAGACATCTTCTTCTATGTTGTGCTTCTGCTTTTCTGGCTTAGCTCTCATGCTCCCAAACCATTTTCAAGCTCCCTTCTGGCCCAGAGTCTTTCAAAAGATCAAGGTGTGTACTTGACCTCAGAGTAAAGTATATCTCTGACTCAACTTCTCATCAATTTTAACTAATCCCAACCCTACCACAGAAAACCTTCCACAACTCCATTCTGTCTTCAAAATTTAAGCATATTTCATAAACCAATCCTACTCCCCATGTGGCTCCAGCTTGCTGGAAGGTTTGGGGAAGTATGTCCCATGCTGTTTTCCATTTCACACATCAGGGAATTTGTATGAGGTACATATATTTTTCTAAGATCCACGAATGCTGGTTGATTAGCTGAAGCCTGGAGGATATGATTGAAAAGTTGTGGGTATCCAGTAATAAGATGTAGATTCCACTGGTCTTGCAACCATATGCATGTCTGAAAAAACCACTAAAATGTTTCGTTTCTGTCACTTAAAATAAAAAAAATGGCACCAGTCCCAGCTCTGTTTCCTCTTTCCAGGATTGTTGACATTGAAATGAGATTAGGCTTAGGAATTTTAAAGGGTTAGAATAATACAAAGTACAGTTAATTTTACATTCCAGACTAAGCTGGTATAAAATCAACAGTGAAAATGTCCATGATGAACTCAGTGCAGTGCCCAGGATTCCGTGAGGGCTCAGTGAGTGTCAGCTATCAGCACTGAGTCTCACTGCCTTGTGAGTGTATCCCCACTTATCCAGGGATGACCACAGAAGTCTGTGAGTGGCTGAGAAATCTTATTAGGTCAAAAGCACTCGGAGACCCTCCCTTCCGAATTGTCACCAACTTACAGTAGACCCTAGATATAATGTAACCTAGAGCGTACACCATTCCCTGACTACTGAAATAATCATATAAAGTCTTCCATTTCCACATTCCCTGGGCTCACAGCTGTTGAACAGCACACCCAGGCCAAAATGGTGATGATGACTGAGTGATGAAATAGTGTTCAAAAGGAGAGATGAAGCTAGTGTAATAAAGATGGGAGGGGCTGAGAGAAAATACAAGTAGTTATGAAGGGGTTCAGAGCAAATGTGGGGCAGTGTCTTCCTGAGCTAAGGTGGAGAATCCTGTCCCCCAGGGTCATGGCCTCAGAAACTGTTGGGGAAGACAAGTCCTGAGCCTTGAGCTCCTCTCCCACACACAGTGGAACTCCACCAGGCAGATGGGCTTTGGGGGCAGAGGATGAAGGGGGATGAATCCAGAGGGACCTGGGCTTCTTTTTCCTTTCCCGAAAGACCATGAGAGACACAGTCCCCACCTTCCAAGGAGCAGACACACCCCACCTGTCTAATGGGACCCTTCGACCCACCCCCCCGTGCTGTGTTCCTGCTCCTGTGCCCAGAGCTGCTCTTCAGTCCATCACACGTCCACAAGGCTAACCATATTCACTGCTTCTACCAGGTGCTCCCGAGAAGACTGTGCTGAGGGCTCCACACTCTGCTGATCTTCTACATCTCAGAGAAAGATCTGGACAACTATGAACTTTATCTTTTGTCTGGGTGTCCTTGCTGGTATATTTTTTGTGTTTTTTTTTAAGATTTATTTATTTATGCATATAAGAGCTGGGGTGTAGGCCAGAGAGGGGGTGAGAGGATTCACCAGAGACAGAGTGGGGAGCAGAACAGACAGATCTACTGAAACATACTGCTGAGGGGAGAAGCAGGGAGACAGGAGAGGTCTGCTGTACCATGTGGGTCAGTTCCCTGGCCAGGGATCAAACTTGTGCTGCAGTGGCTGGCGATATCTTGATAGCACTGTGTCTTTAATCCCTGCACCACCAGGGAGGCCCCCTTGCTGGCATGTATCCGTGACCACCTACTCTGTCCTATAAAGTGCTGGTCAAAATAGGACTGAATTAAGGCAAGTGTGGGCTGTGAGGAGGATGCAAAAGAAGAGTCATCAAAAGTGTCTCAAGACGGGCTAAGGCTGCGCTTCCAGCCAAGCTATGGGTGGGTGAGATGCACACCTGCCCTGGACTGAAGAGTGCCATTCCCCCCCATCCCAAATTGTGGGTCTTATCACCCACTGGATAAGTCCCAGTGTAGTTATAATAACAAAGAACACATTTTGACTTCTCCCCTTCTTGAAAAGCTTAAAGACTCAGAATGCAGGGATGGAGAAAGTGGAAACAAAACATGAAATACTGGGGTTCTACTGCCTGCAGTCCCTGAATTCCACGAATTCTTCTGAGGGCAGGGTTTGTGGAAGAGCCATTCCCCACCACTGCTGACCGCCTAGGTCACTTCACACATTTCCCTACATGAGTTTAGACAAATAAATTAGTTTATCTTTGTTTCAGTTTCTTCATTCAATGTCAGGTATTAGTCCTATATTACAGAGACTTTGTGAAGATTAAACAAATCCATGTAAGGCACTTAGAACAAGAGTTCGGTGTCTCATCCTTATTACTCTGCCTCCCGTTCCTCTTAGGGTTTCCAACCATGGATCACACAGAGATGAGTGGGGGAGTATAGGTCCAGGCTTGAGGAGAATTAGCAGAAGTGGGGGACAAGGACAGAACTGTTATTCTGAATCTAAAATCAGCCTTTCCCTCCTTTCTTCTCTATATTTTTTAAACAATGCATTTCTAAAGGCATTACATGTTCATATTAGTAAACTTGGAAATATTAAAAAAGTAGGAAAAAACAAACATCACTTATAATCCCTCCTCTCAATCAATACATGTCAACAGTGTTGAATTTACTCCAGGCTCTACACACTTTGCAGGTAATAATTTAACTGTTTGTTTACTTGTTTTTAGACAATTGGATTACTGGTTTTAATGTAAATTGTTATTATTTTTATAATCCTTCCTTTCTGTTTAATATTCTTAGTACTACAGACTACGCTCCATTTGTTCATGTGCTTTTTTATGTCCATGTCCAATGTTACCACTGTAGCAGATATTTTCGTTCCCAATGTTTAGCTGCTATAAACAGTGCTAAAGAGTGTCCTTATTCATGGTCTGTACCTACTTCTGATTATTTCTTTAGAACAGATTCTTGGGGTTTGAATGATTAGTTCACAGGTGATGATCCACATACGATTCTTGATGCCCATTACTAAGTTGCTTTTCAAAAAGATAGAATCAACTCCTACTTTGACAAGAAATAAATAGCATCTCATTGTACTTTCTTGGATCAAATATTATCAACATTCAACAAAAAATGATCATTATAAATATTAGAAAAATGGTAGGCTGATTTAATTTACATATTTATTAGAAAAAATATCAAACATTTTCACATTTCCTGACCAACTGATACTTTCTTCCTTTTCAAGTAGGAAATCACTCATTGTCTTACCTGTTTTAAGAACATCTTATATATTCCAAATATTACTTATTTTCTCAGGGACAGTATTCTCTGCTCACTCGCTTGTGCAGAAAGAAGATCATGCTCCATATTTGGTATACCTCAAGTCTCATTTCAACCCCTGTGTGGGTGTCCTCATCAAAAACAACTGGGTGCTGGCTCCAGCTCACTGCTACTTACCGTGAGTGTAAAACAGCTTCTATGCATTCTACACCAGTGCTTCTCAAACAGAGGCAACTTACCTCTAGGGCATATTCAGCAAAGTCTGAAGATATTTCAATTGGCACAATGGAGTTTGGGGAGTAGGGTCTGTGCTATTGACATCTATCTAGTGAACAGAGGCCAGGGCAAAAATGCTGCTAAATAGCCTACAGTGCACAGATGGCCCCCAACAACGACTCTTCCGTCCAGACAGTCATGAGTGCCACTGTTGAGGATCCCCTTTTCTACACATTTCACTTCCTCAGTCTCCTATCAGTTCTAGTTTTTGACTGGTAATATGAACAGTAGCTGATGGCACACTCCAAGTGGACAAATTGAGGAGAGTTTTTAAAATAGACTAATGACAAAGGTATGTACAAGCAATAGGGAAAACATAAAGAATAAGTCAGTGGCCCCAGGGTTAGTATTAGAAAGGTGCCATTACTAGCCCAGAACTAAAGGGGTGGGGATAGAAAGAGTGAGGAGAAGAGGGGGGGTCAGGACACAGAAAAGGGAGGGAGAGGGCCTCCCCGGTGGCGCTGCAGGTTGAGCACAGCGCTGTGGAGCTGTCAGCAGCTTCTGCTGGATTCGATTCCCGGCCAGCCAGGGAGATACCCACATGGCATGGCAGACCTCTCCTGTCTCACCTGCTGCTCCCCTCAGCAGTGCATTTCAGTCAGTCTGCCTGCTCTGTTCCCCACTCTGTTTCTGGTGAATCCTCTCACCCTCCTGCGCCTCTGGCCTGTACTCCAGCTCTTGTATAAATAAAATAAATCTTTAAAAAAAAAAAGGGAGAGAGAGAGAGAGAGAAAGAGAGAGAGAGATCTCTTTAGGGAGAGATATGCCTGATAGGAACCATAACATTTGGCGACAGTCACTCTATGGCAACCAGGCTGAAAGGCAGCAGGGGACATAAATATTCTAACCTCACTCTTCTCCCTCCAATTATTTCTGGTGCTTCCTATTAGTCAATCCCAATCAGAAGCCAGAGGACAAAAGCATCACCAATTTAGTGCACACGTGTCACCATCCAGAGGGCCAGACCAGGATGACATAGGTTAGGTTGTGAGAGACTGATGAAACCAACAGGAGATATCCAACCCTCAGGCCATCCCAGCCTCTTATCCCCTCAAGAATCAAAATACCCACTGGGTAAGCTGGAGCTGGAGAGAAGATGTATTTCTATGCCATGCATAATATTCCTCTCCAGCACATGGAGAACGCTACCTAAAGACACTGTGGTGAAGGACACCATCATTTACTCCACTTAAAACACGAGTGAATTACTTCTGCATGCCTCCATTGCTTCTGTGATTGCCTATGAGATAGTCCAGAATCCAGACAAAGCACTTGGCGCACTGTAACATTCACGATAAGCTTTGGTGGTAGTGGTGGTAATGGTGGTTGGTGCTGGTGGTGATGGTGGTAGTGATGGTGATGGTGGTGGTGGTGCTGGGAGTGGTAGTGGTGGTGGTGATCGGGATTACTTGTAACCTCTTTTCCCTCCAGAAATCTGAGAGTGGTGCTGGGAAATTTCAAGATCAGAGTCAGAGATGGAACTGAGCAGATCATTAACCCCATTAACATCATCCGCTACTGGAACCAGAGTCACAGCAACCCCCAGGATGACCTCATGCTCATTAAGCTGGTCAAGCCTGCCATCCTCAACCACAAGGTCCAGCCAATTTCCCTTGCCACCAGAAGCGTCCAGCCAGGTACCACCTGTGTGCTCTCGGGGCTGGACTGGAGCCAAGACAACAACGGTGAGTACGCCGCCCCTGCAGCCCAGTCCCAGCTTGCCCTGAAGGGCACCAGGTCCTCAGCACTGAGGAGAATGGGTGACTGAGGAGACACAACACCAGCGGCGTGGTGAGAGAGCTGCCCTTTTGTCCAAAGCCTCTCCTTTCCCAGGGTATCTGTGCCCTGCTGCTTCTCCAGGGCTTTGGAGCTGGAGCCTCCAGACATCACTTGGCACAGAGGCCACACCTTTCCTGGCAGGCAGAGGGGTGCACACTGGAGACTGTGCTCCTCCCTCCGAGCAGTCACCCTACACGGACTTGAGGGGGGCACTTCCAGGGACTTGAGGGGGGCTACCTCCTACTCCTCCAAGACTGGACAGAGTAGAAAGAAAACTATCTTTTTGAAAGAATCATCGAGACTATCTTTAAATCCTCTGAATCTCATAGTCAAGTACACGATCACTTCTTCCCTTATTTTTCTCCCTTGCCCTCTTCAGACGCACACACAGAGCACCTGTGGGAAGGAGGGCAGTGGTTGGCAAGGCGAAATGACAACTGTGAACAGGGAGGTCACTTTTGCCCCACCCCCCTCAGGCAGACACCCTGACTTACGGCAGAACCTGGAGGCTCCTGTGATGTCTGACAAAGACTGCCAGCAAACCGAGCAAGGGCGGACCCACCGGAACACCTTGTGTGTCAAGTTTCTAAAAGTGTTCAGCAGAATTTTTGGGGTAAGTTTTCTCTATAGTCATTGACTTATACATGTCTATTAACTATTTAATTGTGATATTTTATTGAGAACTAGTTAGGCCACAGCACAGGCCCTGTCGTGTCTTGAGGGATGGACTCTCCTAACAGATGCCTTCCTTCACCAAAGGGCATCACGCACCACTGGCAGTTAATTACACTGCCAGGCTTTTATTCTCATAGCTGCATTGATTGAAAAAAATAATTCAAATGTTCACAAACTGGAATTGGCTTCAACATTTCAAAAAATGGAGCTTGGCTCATTTTACATGTGAGTTCTAGAAAGGCTCCTCTCTGCCTTTCTCAAGGTCACACAGGTTAGTTATGCAAAGCTAGACACAGGAACTAAGCTTCCTGTGTCTGGACTCAGTGCTTTTTCCTGAGCCAGCCTGGGGTCTCTAAGCAGGGCTCCCCTGCAGAGATGACCTAACCCTCTCTGCTTTTCTCCCTATCACTGCACCATCTCCTGCAGGAGGTCGCCGTAGCAACTGTTATCTGCAAAAACCAGCTCCAAGGGATTGAGGTGGGACACTTCATGGGAGGAGATGTTGGCATCTACACCAACGTTTACAAATACATATCCTGGATTGAAGACATCACTAGAGAGAAATGAGACCCTTCTTTCCCTCTGCATCCTACTGGCTCTGCCGGAAGTACTGAACAAGCCATTACTTCCCCCAAACTCAAAAATAAATAAATAAATAAATCTCTAAATAAAAATCTTTGGATGCAGCACATCAGTGGCGTATGTTTTCTTGTTTGGCCTCTGCCCAGATCCCATGATGATGTGAAGAACCAAGAACAAACATAAAATGGGCGCTTAACATCATTAGTAGGTTACATCCATTATCTCATTTAATGCTCACAAATAACTTTTGAGGTTACCTTTCATCTGCTTTACAGATGGGAAGCAGGTCACTGAACATTATTCATAGCATAGTAGACAACAGAGCCTGTCACAGAACCCCAAAATGCCACTCTTAATTCCATGCTCTTGGCCACAATACTATAGGGGAGTCCACAGTATCATAACAGATGTTGGCTTCTGCTGTCCTAATCCCTCTGGTTATATTCAAGGGCTAAATCTCTCACTTGAGGTGAAGTGCTCCACTACTGGAATAAGTTCTCCTAAGAATGGCCATGCTTCACCTCAGCACTGTAGAGAGAGGGCAAGTGGGTGAGTAGGAAGGGAAAAACAGAAATTTAGGACAGGGCCAATTACTATAAACCCAGTCCAGAGAAGGTCTGGCAGCTTCAGAGCAACTGAATAGTCCCTCAGAATATTAGACCAAATTAAGACATCCATCTTCAGTGTTTGAGAATATACTTGCCTCTGTAGTCTTGATATTACCTATTAACCTCTGTTTAAATCTTTGCTAACTGGACAAACACAAAATGGCATCCACAAAATGGTATCCAAAAATTTGCATCTCTTATGACTAATGATAAATAGAATGTTTATATAAACTTTTGATTTCTTCATCTTTTAATTGACTCTAAAGACATTTTCATTCTTTGGTATGTTTTCATTCTTAATCATTATAATGATTAAGAATAATAATTCATCTTCCTGATGATATATGTTCAGTTAGATTTTTTTCTCATTTTATCCTTTGCCATTTAAATTCACATGCATGATGCTTATGATATGCAGTTTCACATTTTTATGTAGTGAAAAATGTAAATAAGTTTTAGTATGATTTTTCTCCTTGATGGCATACTTGGAAATTTCTTCCATATCCCAATATTTTAAAATACTCATTCATATTTTCTTCTTGCATTTCAGTTTCATTTCTTACATTTTATTCTTAATCTCAAATTTTATATATTTTAAGTGTGAAGTAAAAATCTTATTATATTCTAAATGACTGGCAACTTGTTTCCAGCACCATTTATAGAATGATCCTTTTTCCAAAAACTACATTTATCTTATACTATACTTACATATTTTTCTGGCATTTCCAGTCCATCTTTAATTTATTCCTTGCCAGTACAAATGTTTAAAATTATTTTTCACCAAGACTAGAAATGATAGTAATGTTAAGGGTAAATATTTATAGCTCTTACTATACACCATATATTCATCTTAACAATTTTCATCTATTAAATCATTGAGCTGCATAGCAACAAACCTGCCTCTTCTAAATGATATATGTATTCTTCTAAAACTTCAAACTCGGGGCATCCCTGGTGGCACAGAGGGTTGAGCGCAGTGCTGTGAAGCTGTCCGCAGCCTCTGCAGTGAGGGTTTGATTCCCTGCAGGCCAGGGAGATTCCCACATGGTGTGGCAGACCTCTCCTGTCGCACCCGCTGCTCCCGTCAGTAGTGTATTTCAGTCAGTCTGCCTGTTCTGCTCCCCACTCTGTCTCTGGTGAATCCTCTCGCCCTCCCACACCTCTGGCCTGTACCCCAGCTCTTGTATAAAAATAAATAAATCTTTTTTAAAAATTAAATAAATAGATTTAAAAAAATAAAAAGTGAAACTTCAAACTCTTCAAAATCATGTGAAAAATGAAAGGACTTCCAGGGTAGACATTGGAAGAGATTACTGAAGACCTATGGAACTTTGTAACCAGAGCACTAGGCTGCCATAAAAAGAATCATACTAAATTGCCTAGAAAAATGCATCTCCACTAACTAACCTTTGCATCCAGCTTCAGTCAGTTGTTCACAGTCTCTAAACTGGGGTTTTGGCTTTTCTAGAACCTTTCCCTTCTGCCTGAATTGACTCCAATTATATAAACACTGATTTCTTTAATTCAGTTGTGAATATGCTATCACATCCTTCAAAGTCCTTTAGCATTTCAAGATTTTCTTTATTAAAACATTTCAGAATTTGCTCACTAACCTCAAAAAAATCAATCCACTAAGCTTTCACTGATAACTTTATAACAAACTCCCTGTTCCTTCATATGAAATGTATTGCTAATCCAAAAATTGTCTAAACATGTCTTCTTGTTACTAGAAAAAAAAGAATAAAATATTTGCTAGAATAAAATGGAATGAAAAAATCTTATATATCTATATTCTGTTGAAAAGTGTCACTCATTTTTGATCTGCTCATTCTCAAATAAAGTCTTATAAACTTTTCTTTAGTCTTCATATTCTTGAATTGCTCTAGAATGTTCCTGAGTGTGACAAGAGTCCCCCCATCTTATCTCTCTTGTTTGGTACCTTTGATCTTTTTAAATCAAGGAGTTTTTCCTGTTTATTGTCTTCTCAGTACCTAATTGCTGAGAAGAAAAACCATACAGGGTACAATTTCACCAAATCATTGGATTTTTAAGATCAATGTGTATATTTAAAAGTCTTGTGATAAATTTTTTCCTTGTAATAAAAAATGTATTAATTAAATCAAGGGTTTTTTAAATCTATCTTTCACTCAGTACATTTCTTGCTTATTAACTCTTCAAATACTTCATTATTTTTCTCACTTTCCTTCTCTCTCTGGGACTCCTTTTAACATAGATATGACCTTTCTTTTTGTGCCATATAACTTTTCTAATCTTTTACATTTTAATCCTTTAATTTGTTTCTAATGCCTTCTGAGAAAATTCAGTGATCTTCCAGTTCATTAAGCTACCTTCAGCTGTATCCATTCAGCTACTTAAATAAATTGTGCAGCACTTTATTTCTTCTAATTTAGATATACAAATTTTAGAAGTCAAAAGAGAATCATACTTTTCTTTACACAAGACCTGCTAGCTTAGGAAGGTATCTGACCAAAATTCAGAGTCCCATCTTTGCCAAGATTTGGAGACTTGTCACTACGAATCAAAGAACACATTCACAGAAAAGGAATTACCAAGGACACAATGCTGAGCACTAAAGTGTGAGTGGTGGTGCTTCCCACTGACTCCATGTTACAGCCAAATTCCTTCTAGTAAGTTTATTGTGTCACATGAAGTTGGAATATGTAAAAAGTACAGGAGTGGTGAAGCATTTACATAATTCAGATTCTGTACATACTGTTATATGTTTTAGCTTTAAAAAGTAAAGTTAAAAATATATTACCTAACAAAAAAAAAATATATATATTACCTAAATTTATAAAATTAATAACTGGTAGGATGACAAATAAAACTAATCAAATTTTGGAGATGGGAATGGATTTGGGGTTAAGTGAGATAATTCTCAAACTTTGATTAAAAAAAATCCAAAAGTTACAGCTCAATGTTGATAAACCAAGAAAGAGAGGCAACATCTTCTTATTTAGAGTTGTGAGCATAATCACTAGAAGAACTAAGACAAATGATAAAACTCAACTCTTTCTCAGTGGTAAGACTAACAATAGGGAGTGGAATGGGGAAATGTTCACCTTTCTCTACCTTTTAAAACTTTTTTAGCTCTCTTCTATCATGCACCATCAGAAATCACACCACCTAATAGGAAGGAAAACTAGTAATCTCTAAACACACGTGCATGTGTGCACACACACAGAATCACATGGTTGCAGCTGCAGCTCTGGGAATGCAAACTGTAAAAGATTCAATTACACATGAATCAATTCAAGACCATGGATTTGCCTCCAGATTTGTTTTCTTGTATAAAACGCAAAGCAGCCTCACACCCCATCATGAGCTATACCTTGTACAAAATATGAAGTAAATCAAATTCCAAAAGGTAACAGGAAAATGCCAGTTTTTTGTCCCTAAGAAGAGTCAAGTCATAGAAACTTTGGTCTGCTGTCATTTTTTTTTCACTTAAGATTTTTATTTTTGCATAGAAGAACTGGGTTGTAGGCCAGAGGTGTGTGGGAGGGTGAAAGGATTCACCAAAGACAGAATGGCAAACAGAACAGGCAGATCCACTGAAATACATTGCTGAGGGGAACCATGGGTAAGACAGGAGAAGTCTACTGAGCCATGTGGGTTAGCTCCTTGGCCAGGGATTGAATTCAGGCCGTTGCAACAGACACAGTGGTAGCGCTGAGACTTTAACCCCTATGCCACCAGGGAGACCCTGTTGTGATTTTAGATCTTGGTTCTCAGGTAGCCCAACCAATATCAGAGTTGAAATTTTAGTTATTTATTACAACTTTTTTAAAATAGTCATAAACTTGATTATTCAATAGGCTAATCTCACTATGAAGTCACACAAGATGAACTTAAGGTTTATTAGGAAAAGCACAAGTATATTTGTCATCCAACAATCTGGGACTGTTCTTACGCATCATTTACCAGTTGACAATCTTGAGCAATCATCACTACAGCTTGAGTTTTCTCATCTGCAAAATGGGAGTAGAATTATGAGCAGCAGAGAGCTGCTATTAAAATCTAATGAGAGACTAGACTACACATGAGAATACCTAATAACACGTAAACCCCAACACAAACATTAGGGACTGCTGTTATCATTATTCCAATTGGTCACGAAGGAATTCTACTTGAACACAGGCATGTTATATAATGGAAAATTCATCCTAATATATAAAATATAATCAAGATAAAGCATGCCTCTACTTGAAAAGACCGGACATTATCATTTCCAGAAGATAAAACACACACTTATGCTCATGCAATTCACAGTGGGGCCAGCACTTTCCTGAATGATACCTAATATCCACCTGTGCCCAGCACGCTCACAGCTTTGAACAAAGAAAGATATATGTTGGAGAAAACAGATCAGTGAAGGTAGATTAGCATGGTTAATAACAAGTAAAAAAAAATTAAGTATCTCAAGTGTTATATTTTGTCTTACATATCCGATAGAATTGAAGTAAAGAAAATGTATTCAAACAGGGCTAAAAGGCAGAGAAATATGCAGGAAGAGGGCTGGGATTAAAGGAGGGAGAAGCAAAGCTAGTTCTTTAAGAAGGCAGCATGAGGCAAAGGAAAGCCCTGGGCCAGGAGAAGGAGACTAAAGTCTGGTGTGAGCACTGGCATCAGCTCTGCAAAACACTAGGCAGACCATTGCCCATTCTGTGTCCAGCTCCTTCATGTTACAGAGGGTGAATTGCAAGACCAGTAAGAACAGCTAGCTGATCATTATAAAATGTGTAAAACTGTCTACTATGGACTAAGTGGTGTTCTAGGCAACAGAGATGTAGGAGATACTAACACAGACACAGTCCCTGCTGACATGGATCGGACATTCCAGATGATCTCCATCAAGACTGGCACCCAACTCTGACTTCAGGCTGTGGAGGCCCCAGATGGAGAGTCAGGAGGCTCCATGACTGCTCTCTTTGTGAGAAGAAAGTGCCCCTCACTCCCATCTTGCTCCACACCAGATCCCAGGTACTGGAACTTAATATATAGATTATGATAGCCAGCTAATTTTTATTGTAAAAGGAAAGTCTAGAAATCACAGAAACTTCCAAAAATATAAAAATGTTTTCTTTTGCTTTCTAGTAAGATTTCATAAGAGATAATTTTTTTAAAAAAAATTGATGCTTCTTTTTTAAAAGATCATTTCTAAAATCACTGAAATAATGAACAGGTGCAATTTCATAAAAATTAAGGATCACTAGACTGGTTATTCCTAATCTCTGTTCCCTATAATAGGAAGGATATAACTGATAAACATAATTTTTTTTTTTTTTGTGGGACCCTCACCGGCGGCCGGGAAAAGAACTGGCGCTGCAGAGGCTGCGGGCAGCCTCGCAGCCCAGGGTTCAACCGCTGCACCACCAGGGGAGGCCCTAAATGTAATTTTTAAAGTAATGAATCACTTGCTATTTATATGCTATATAAAACATAACACCTCTTTTACCATAGAACCCCACCCCTAATTTCTTTAAATACATTAAAACAATGTACTTCACGTTGTAAAAAGACAAGCAGTACTGATTTTTATTCTGTATTTCCTGTTCCTATTGATTTGGTGTCACAATGGAAAATGTTTAAAGAAACAAAAGTCAGCTCTGTTAGAGGAAGCTATCAAAAGAGCATCTCCAAAGATCTGACCACACTTGGCACCTTCAGCTTATGGGCCCCAGGACCTCTAAGCACACGCTGCCTTCCGCAGGATTCTCTGACAAGACTGCTTCACCCTGGGGTTACCCATGATCAGTTCGACAGAATGAAGAGAAGGATAAGCAGCCATAAGTGTCTCGGAGATGAAGAGAGAGGTAGGACGAGCGGAAGACTTGGCACTGACAGAAAAGGGGACAGCCAGCACGTAAACAGTGTGGAGAACAAAGAAGCAACCCAGGGACTTCAGGGCAGTGATGTGAGCCTCGGCCCAAGCATCACTCCTACCAGATGTGCACACCTGCATCTTCCTGTGACGTCTATACAAAGACACTATCAGCATCCCAGAGGAAAAAGAAACACCATGAAAGGCAACCCACTTCCTAAACTGAGCTGGACCATATAGATATACACAAAGCGCCAAGGTGAGCGGAGGTACAGAAGGCTGCTGTTTCCTTGGGAAGAACTGTGGAGCTTTAAGTCAATGTGAGCTACAACCAACAAACTGATCACGAGGCACCCCAGAAGTCCCCAGAGACTGGGCAAATAAGTCTTTGTCTTCCCTTTCAGCCACAAGCAGACAGGGTGTTCAACAGTGGTGATCTTCCTGCAGTAGAGGACACTGAGGAAAGTGGCAAACCACAGGCTGACCTGGCTTATCAGGACACAGAAGGTATTGAGCAGACGATGCCAACGTCTGCTCTTGGAAAATGGAAACAGGCTTAAGTCCATCATAGTCAGCCACTGAAGGAGAAATCTGCAGACAGCCAGACCCAGGATAAGGAGATTGTAGACAGAGCCCTTGAATTTCCTGACCAATTCTCTAAAACTCCAGACAGCAAGGACTCCGTTTGCAACCAGGCCAATGAGAAACTCAGCCACTGCCACCAGCATCAGCAGCCCCACGGCAGCAGGAATCAGCATGGCTGGGAGCAGAGATGCCACTGCTGTCCCAGGAGGTGGGCAGCTTCAGGCAGATGAGCGTCTGCAGCCCCTTGGCCAGCTTCAGGTCCCCCGAAGTGATGCTATGCTCACAATAAATTTTTATACTGAGAAATCTGGCTTTGCCTGGGCTGGCACTGCTCCAACCTGCCCTCAAGCAGACTGACAGCTGTGGCCAGGATCAGAGTTTAGAAGTTATGATTCCCTCTGTATTTGCATGCACAAGCACGAACCCAGAGCCTAGGCTCGGAGATGGAAACAGCACCACAATCGTCAACCCTCCTTCTCAAGAGTCATGGGCTTGGTACCAAAAATTATATACAAAGGAGCAGGAAACCCAAAGTCCCCTTATGAAACCTCCAACAGCCTTTTTTAAGGCCTGAGCTAATCATGCCCATTGTGATGATTGCTTAAGGTTATGGAAAAATGCAACCTTCCTTCCTCCAGTTTCCTTGACCTGGTAAAGACCCGCTATCCCACGTTTATTTCCAAATATACTCACACTGGCAGCAATTCCTCTAGTTGGCAATCAAGAAATCCCAATCTCTGGTTTAATGTCAATGGCTGGGCCACTGACAACCACTCAGAGAGCTGTCAGTGCATTGGAGTAAGGTGTTTACTTTATCTGTCCCTGAGGTCTGGCCTACCAGCCAGACACCAATGTGGGATGATGTGCTTGTGGGCTTTTTGATAGCAGGATGTTCTCCAGGTATTATGGTGAAAATGAGAGGTTATGTTCTGACATAAAGAACGGGCCCAAGGTGGTAGCTTTCAGAATGCCTAGATTGTCCCATCTTGTTTCTCTCCACTATTAGGGATAACCTTAATGGTAATTTTGGGCTTGGTGTTTGGACCAGGCCTTTGAAATGTATCATGTCTCTCTCTTCCACCTTCAGATGATTGTCCAACAAAACCCTCAAACTACCCCACCCTTGACAGGACCCTATGCCACTGCCCAGCACTTCTATCACACACTTTAATGTCTCCATCCTCTTTATCCTTCCTTTTTTTTTTTTAAACTGAAAATGACGCATCAGCAGGATGCTGATAACAATGGTCAGGGAAGTGCAAAATCACACATGTTTAAGTGTTTATGAAGAAATAATATGCAGTTATTTAATATCTTAACAAAGATCGTTTTTGCATGGTATGGGAAAATACTGACAACATACTGCTAAGTGAAATGGAAATAAATGTATACATACAATGTGATACTAATTTTTGTAAGAAGCAATATGTACATACAAAGAAAACTGCAATTAGCAATTAGGTGGGAAAATTCTGCTATACTTTAAGCCAGGCTAGTGACTCCCAAGGATCATTTACCATGGGAAACTCATTACCCAGCGTTCCTCAGCTAAACCTAAAAAATAGAAGTGGCAACGTCAACGGTGAAGTTTTGTTTAACCTGAGGAGCTTCCCTTTATACTTTAGTACCCAAGGGAACAAATTTCCATTATACAGGGAAGCAACACCCATGCAAAATGCATTAATCACAATGTTCAAGAAAATTTCTTAGAAAAACTGCTAATTTAAATATATAAGTCAAAGAAACTGTAGGATAAACTGAAATACAGGTACTTGGGCCAAGGAAGTCAGACTACCACAAACGATAAATTTCTCTGGACGACGAGAACTTTGCTAACAGAAAAATCTTGTTCCCAAACTATGAGGTGACTTCAATCATTACTGAATATAGAAATTTCACTATTTGTTGAAACAAAGAAACTTCTTTCCTTTTGTTTTCAGTTTAGGATGTGTGAGAATAATGAGAACAGAATGTCCTGGGTGGTAAAGAGCAAAAATGATCATATCAATAATTCCAGCCTCCAGGCTCATCCCTACACAAGGCAGGAAAATGAACATGGTAGCAACGGAATAGGGGATGTAGAGCACCAGGAAATAGATCATCAGCTTCATAGCACCCACATGAGCTGCAGTCTGGGGATTCCAAAAAGCAGTGGTGCTTCTCTGCAGCGTCTGTACATGTCTCCGCAAGGAACTGATTAACAGGGAAGCAGACATCACATTGATGATGAGCTGCAGGAAAGAACTCAATACCAAAAACGTTGCGAAAGACACAGTGTCCACACTGATGTGAAACTCTGTGCCATTTCTCCCAGCCAGAAATTCAGGATGGGGTGATGTCTGTAAAAACACAAGATACAGGAGCGTGGTAACGGCAGAAATCAGCACACAGGCCAGCAGCAGCTGGGGGACCTTTGCGGAGAGATTTCGTTTCAACAGTAGAAACAGTGAGTGTTGGAAGTTAGTGATCTTCACACAGTACAAGGCGTTGAGCAAAGTTACAAACCAGAGGCTATTAGAGTCCAAAAACATCCAACAGAACATGAAAAAGGTGGATACATGTTCTGACTTTTCAACATTTGCAGAAACAAACGTGTATATCAAATATAGAAGTAACAATCCCAGCAACAGAAACCGGTTGATGCCCAAGCTAAACAGGAGACTGTCGAAACTGGAGAGTCTATGGTTTTTCATCCAGGTCTTACAACTGACGACTGCAGTAAACAGACTGGCAATGAGCCCGACAAAATTAAAAGTCATGGAGACAGTAACAGCAGAGAAAAACACTATGTAACGCATCTTGACTCACTGAGGATTCCGAGTGGTGCTGCCGATGCTGGGAGCAGGAGGAAGGCTGGAGTGTGCCAGCCTCAGTGCCCAGGCCGGGAGGACAAGTCCTTCTTGTGTTTCCCCAGTGCCCAGTGTGGCAAAAGAGCCATTAGTGCTCCAAGAGCCAGCTGCTTTTACTGAATGCAAATCTTCCAAAGATTGCCTTACTATTTCTCCTTCACATCCTGCTTTCCTTAGAAATGCCTCATTATGGCAGCTGAGGTGAACCTGGCAGTGCTCTCCCCAAGACCAGGAGAGCTGCAGGGAGGACACAGGGCAGGCCCAAGGCCTTCAAGTCAATTGACAGATTCCCAGTCCACCAGTATTTGGTCCCTATTCATAGTGAATGCAGCTTTTCTTCACAACAACCCCAAATAAGTCAGGAATTCCAAAATCACTCCTATGCGCCCCAGCGCCCAACAACATAGCCACAGAAAATCAGTCCAACTTCCCTCTCCCCTGTGATCTGTTGGTGTTGTAGTGATTGTCGCCAACTATGGTTCCAGCCATGCCAACATGACCCTTTTATCCCTTAGCACCTACAATGAATAACAGTTATCTAACTCAAATAGATCAAATTCAAAAAAGGCCTTTGTCACTTAATTCCATCTTTTCATAATGATTCTGTACTTACTTGGTGTTTTCTCACTAATTACATATATAGATTAGCACCATAATGATTTGCTGTGATTTGATTTCGTTTGGGAAATAAATATCAGCTATCACTTGTTTCCTTTATGATCTAGGTGCATGCTCAGATCCCATATGGCTATTCCCTCTTGGTATTTAACTCCCTATGAATGTATTTTGGTCCCAGATACACTGTGATGCTTTGATATAGGTTTGTGGCCAGACAACTCAATGTCTGATTTCTCTGTAACTGCTGAGGTAGCAATGGTGACACCATGCCGGTAAATGACACTGGCCAAGGCTAGGAGAGAGAGCAGGGCTATAGCATCTATTGTCTACTTTAGCTGGTGGGTGGAACCAAGGTACACTTCCAGATACAGCCAGCACACGCCCCAAACCAGCAGCGAAACAAAGCATACAACATTCTGCTACCAAATTCGTATAGGAATACACCGGAGGGTGGGTAAGATCGCAAGACTAGCAAGTACAGCAGAGGGGAAGACATACATACACAAGGCCCCGTAAGACAGACGACAGGAAGGCAAGCTAGTGGAAGCCTTGAGTAGAGCCAGGGGCTCACAGAGCCTTTTGCACAAACTAGTGGGCACTGACTGACACATGCCAGCTGAGTTAAACAAGCAAACACACAGTGAACAAGCAAAGCAGCTATGAAAGGGAGGATTATGTTATCACATGGATTTCTACTTCGTTACCTATAATATAGATCATTGCAAAATAATTAAATTATTACAAACACCACATCTGAGCAGAATGAATAATATGGAGCAAGATCTGAAAATAAACTTTCAGTGAGGAACTGATAGCTGAGTTATTCCCCTGCCCCCCAGGGGATTCAGAAAACCAGGTCCTTTCCCAAATAGACACCGCCCCCATCACTGTGTCTCGAGGCACAGTAAGACTGCTTTCTCCAGCAACACACCCACTCCCAGACACAGCCCAGGCCCAGCATTAATAAAGGGCAGACCACAGATGTCTGGGATTACACCACAGTCTGACATCTCCAAATCTTGCATAAAGATAAACAGAGAAGGGGATTCCACCTTCACCCACATGCTGGCCTTCAGTTTAATGACCAGGAGTGGTACTTCAGCGTTTTCCCTGCACTTAATTTGACCCTGCTAGGTCAGGGTAGATTTAGGGATCACAGTAAGAGTAGAAGGGAGGGACTCCTCTGAAGTTTAAGCAAAGGCACCAAGAATCAAAAAACAGCCAAGCCACAATCTAGTGAGGTTATGTTCAAGTAAGTAACAGGAAAATCTCCACACCTGAACCAGAGGCAGCATCAAGATTTCAAAGAAGGAATGAAACCAGGAGTCAGAGCAAAGCAAAGTTGTCAAAGTGACAGAAAGTAGGAGCATGTGTTCAAGAGGGGGTGGAACGAATAAGAGATCTGGGTCAGGGTTTGCAAAGCAGATGTCAATCAACACAGCATGGATTTCCATAAACTTCCCTGTGCAAAAAGCAGCACAGACTTCTACTGGCTACAGACGCACCCATCTCTGAATCCTTATTTTTTAAGAATTTTAAATGAATTATCAAATCATTCTTTCAAGTTTCAAATGCAGATTTTCAAAAGATCATTTTAGGTTAAGTCAGATTTACGAACTTCCCTAGCAGCTTCAAGAGGCAAGTATCCATTTGAAAGTAAACAGTGTAGATCAAAAGATATTTTATTTTCATAATTTTAGAAACAAATACGTAAATATAAGAACAATCCTAAAATTAATTCGGGATTCCATATGACCAAATGCCAAGTAGTGTGTTGACCCTTCAAAACACAATCCCATTCACAAAATAACAACCATAGCAGCCACATTTACTGACAGTTTATTCCATGTGGGACTTGAAGCATTTTTCATGATACCTCACTAATTCCTCCTAACAACATATCACAAAACACTACTACTGTCCCCCTTTTATAAATGAGGAAAAAGTGAAACAGAGGGAGGTTTAGAAACATCCCCAAGACCACCCAGTTCATAAAAGCCAGGGTCAGGATGTGGGCCCAGGTGGTCTGGTTTCAGGGTCCACATTCTTAGCCTCAACTATCTACACCTAAGAGCCCATAAACGCTAGATTTACTGCGTGTCCCAACTGCACATATTCACAAGTTTGAGACTCCTTCATGGTCTTAAGCAACAATATACTTGTTGATATGTCAATGCTGTCTCAGTGTAAAAAAAATAATAACAGGACAAAACACAACAAAGCAAAAATGGACAATTATAAACCAGAGACATCCTGCAGGGGAGGAGGCCGGAGAGATCGGAGGGAGGGAGGAGCACAGGGGACTGAGGTGATGGTGCATGGGTGCACTGGTGAAGGAAACGCTATGGGGACTACACCTGAGGGGGTGGGGGAATAGCAGATATTGTTTAAAAATGAACAATGATGTAAAAAATAAAAAAATTAATATAAAAAAAGATATGTCGATGCTGTCCAGTGAAAGCAAATTAATATCTATGTAATTTCTTTAAAATAAAATTAACTAAACTCATAAAACTGCTTATATTGTTTTTTAAAGCTGTGAAATCTTAAAGCAGATATGCATCTTGGTTAATTTTAAATAAAAACTGCTTACACAAAAAAAAGAGAGAAAAAAAAACTTTGCTTATTCTGAAAAATTAAAAATTACTACAAAATCATAATAATAAAGGAATGCAAGAACTACTGAAATGAAATGACTTCACTACCAAGCTGCACTGAATCTCGTACCCAATGGCCTTCATTTTATTTCATAGTTTTTGACAGTCATAACAGTTTGCTAGAAACTGGTATCCTGGGGAACTGCTGGTGCTAGACAATTCACTGTTTTTTTTTTAAGATTTATTTATTTATGCATACAAGAACTGGGGTACAGGCCAGAGGTGCGGGGGGGTGAGAGGATTCACCAGACACAGAGTGGGGAAAAGAACAGGCGGATTTACTCATATACACTGCTGAGGGAGCAGCAGGTGAGACAGGAGTGGTCTGCTGTGCCATGTGGGTTGCTCCCTGGCCGGGGATCAAACTCAGTGCTGCAGTGGCTGCAGGATAGCTTCATAGTGCTATGCTTAACCCCTTGCACCACCAGGGAGGTCCCCAATTCACTGTTAATAACACAATAGCTTCACCTACTGAGTGCTGCATAGAATACGCCGACACACGTCACTTCACCAATCTCTAGTACACCTGAGATTCATGTCACAATCACATTTTAAATGAGGGAAGAAAAGACCAAAGAGGCAATAAAAGTAATTGCCAAATGTCAAAAATCTTGGAAAAAGGAAAGCAACTGAATTCTGACCCACGTCTGTGGGACCACTATGCTTTTGTCCTCTTCCTCCAGGCCACTATATTGTTTTATTTAAATCACCTTATCACTATCATATAACGTTTAAATTAAACCTAGTAACTAGCTTATTATAATGAGCTAGTAATAATTAAAATACATTTCCACAGTTATATAATGACAGTGTTTTTACTATACTGACATTTGCCAAAGTCTGTTTCTCCCTCCAAAACAACCAGACAGAGAGGCCATGAGAAGCATCCTCCAGCAGGAAGGGGCAAAGCAGCAGTGTCTGTTCCCTCCTGGACCCTCTGCTGTTGCGACAGGCAACACCACGCTGACAAAGACACGGGAGTCGTGGAGCAGGCTGCACAAGGCAGGATGCTGCTTGAGAGCAAGATCCTGGCCATTTTTATTGAGAGAATAATCATACAGCATCAGCTACGTGCATTAGAAGGACAAGGAGAAAATCATATGGGGAACACTAAGGAATGTCATTAGGGCTTGGGGAGACATGAGTCCGCTGACCATGTTATCAGCCTGATGACCGAGAGTTGTCATCGAAACCAGACCTCAGGCCCCCAAACATGGCCGTAATCTTAGCAACAAGGCATTCCACTGATCAGCTTCTGGGGTCCCTTGTCATACATCGGTCCTTGGCCCCCGGGCATTCCCGGTCATACCTCATGATACATACCCTCCCCAGAGTGATCAAGCTTTCTGCTCTTGATTGATTTGAAAGGCACCTTGAAAGGTTTGGTTCATATGACTGATTGACTGGGAAGTTCTGACCTTTGTATAGGAACACAGAACTGCAGTTAACCATAATGGTGGCTGAACAGGCCACTTAAGTCTGCCACACTCTGCCACTTAGGGAGAAAAGGCCACCTTGGACCCACACTTCAGATAACAAGGCTCACACCAGAGCATCTCCACAAACAACTGCTTCAGCTTTTTGTGTCCCAGAATGAGAATAAATGAGTGGCCAGTGGAATAAAACATTTTAATTATATCTCCAATCATCCTAATCATCTGAGTTCCTGGTAGGAAATGACTGGATGATATCATTAAAAGGGCAAGGAAGTAAAGTAGAAAGAGAAAGAGGAAGGAGAGGATGATTTTGATGGCCCTCTTGTGGGCCTCAGTGCTTGGGTCACTGGAGCTGGTGCCATTTTGCTGCATCTGCCGCGTGTGCCTCCCCAGGGAGAGGATGAGCAGAAAGGAGGAGGCCAGAGACACAATTAGGGGAGGAAAGTTCCACAGTATCCCAAGCCCGTGGATCAGTTCATATTCACTTTTCTTTCTGAAGTGCTCAGTCACATTCCTTGGGACATCGACTCCAATCAAAGCAGAATAGATCTTAAATTCATGGATCAGAGACGTGGCACTTGCACACGACAGGAGCAGAGCACCCAGCAACATCCATGCAACCAACCTGGAGACTCTCCACTTGAGCCACAGGAATGTGGGGTGAGAGAAACTGGCAATTTTCAGGCAGTAGAGGGTATTGAGACAGGTGACAAGCCAAATGCTCAAATCATTTGTAAAAGTCCAGATAATTTCAAGAAAATGCTCTGCTATTCCTTTATCACCTACTTTGGAAGGAAACAACATTAAAACTCCATCAGCCAAGAGAGAAAACAGTAAAACAATCCTGGAGAGAGCCAGTGTAGTGACAATGAAGTCAGACAAAGAGATTCTCTTGCTCTTGAGCCAACTACTGCCATGGACCCACACAATGAAGCCGTTCCCCAGCATTCCTAGGATGAACTGTGTGGTGGACAGAAGCAGAAACAGGCACTCTGTGAGTCCCATCATGTCAGCTGCTAGGCAGGCCTGATCTTGTTCTTCCTGTTGATGGGCAATCTCCTTGCCGATTTGAAATTTTTCTCTCTCAGTCTACCTACGGCTTCACAGTACCTGTTACTTGTCTCTGCCCAAATGAGGCTGCTGTAGAGCACAGTGTAGTGTGTTCCCTCTGCTTCTTCCTGGTCACTCTGTCCTCTTCACAGATGACATGGATTGTCACGTTCCAACTATAATTGAAACTCAGAAGCTCTTTGCTAACATGCAAATGGAGTAGTGTCTGGTGTCACACAGAGAAGGAAGAGATCTGTGTGATAGCGAAGATGGAGGCCTTGGGCTCAATTTCAAAGGGGGCAGAGTTCTGAGCCACCCAGAACAGAAAGGTGTCACCAGAGAGTCATACAGCATCTCTTAAAGAGTGAGAAGTCTCAATTCTCAGGATAGGGGGCCTCAGGGAGGCCACACAGAGAGAGGAAAAAATCAGAATTCCACCATAAGGTTTCACCAAGGTTACCCTGAAGGGAGATTTAAGTGCACAAAGTAGAAGTTCAGTCGGTGCCATTGGTGCGGGACTAGAATTAATAGTTTTGCCTCTGGAGGATCAATTACATGAGGTAGCTCTAACCTCTCTAGAAGTCATATCATCAAAAAATCCCTAACTATCTTAATGTGTGAATGACAACAATATGAACAAGAGAAACAACAGCACATAAACTTTTCAAAATATGTATTTTTTTTTTCAGAGTGTAAAACCACTTCACTGATAAGTCAATAATATAAGACTGACCAAATCACCCATGCATACCAAAGAAGGCTTATTTATCTAATATGGTGCCTTACAAATTTACACATGACCAACAGTCATATTTTCATATGAACTTATATATGTGTATATAAACATATATCACTATATATGAACACTTATTATATATAAAACATACCTCAAACTATATATATAAAACTTATACTTCATGATCTAAATACATTTATAAAAAAATAAAAATATACATACTGGGAACACAAAACTTTATTTTCCCATTCTATATGTGTGACACTCCAATATTTTCTATCCCATTCTTAAAAGTTAATTCCCAAAGTTAAGTTGTGTGGCTACATAAAAAAAGAAAGCCAGTACATTTCAAAGCAAGGCATAAATGACTGCGAGCAAGTAAGAATGAGGAATTGTCGGAAGGAGGAAAACTTCAGGCCAGTTCCAAAGCAGGTGCATGGGAAGAGCTCTGTAATGGGTAGTCTGGTCCCAGTGCTTCCTAGAAAGTGGCAGGAAGCCACTGCCTCCTGGCACCTCAGTTGGTAATAAAAACATGCTGGGACTGTAGGCTGGATTTCCACTCGTCCAGATTACTGAGCGCTTTATGAGCCGGGCGGTGGGCCAAGCATGTGATCACAGTAGCGCGCAACACACAGCCCAGGGAGCACACATACTGCTCCTCACCCTGCAGCAAGACTGCGGCCAATGAACTCTGGCTATGGCTGTGAAGAGCAGAGGAGACAGTCACGCTCCACCACTGGCACAAAGCCTGGGTGAGATGTGACCGTCATGAAGGGCAGGGATTCTATGGACACTTTCTGAGGGCAGACATGAGGACCCAACTCCAGATGCCAGGCAGAACTTTAAGGGGAGCATGGTTGCTGGCTGCCATGTACCCAGGAAGCCTGGTTTGGACACATACACACACACAAAAAAAAAAAAAATCAGAGGAAAGAGAAGGGTAGTTTCCTGACAGACTACTCCTCCTGTTAAGAAAGGCTAAGCAGGCAACTGAGACATTTAGTTATCCAATAAGGAAAAGCAAGCTACACATTGAGACTTCTAAGAGTATCTGGAGACAGAGTGTATCTCCCGTCTCTTGTGAGAACAAGACTGGGGAACAGATGAGATTAGAATTGGAGTTTAGATCACAGTTCACGTATCAGTGCCGGCACCTTAGTTTTGATGAATGGGCCAGATTCTATAAGATGTTAACTTCCAAAAAACTGAGAAGAATATGGGAATTCTCTGTACTCTCTTTACAATTTTTGTGTAAAATAAAAAATGAAAACTTTACACTTTTGAAAAATATGTGCATCTCAGTCTGTAAAGCTGTTTGTATAAAAATCACATTTTTAACAATTTGAGAACAGCATGTCTCAGAGACTTAGGAGACTAAGGTTTTTTTCCCCCAATGTTGCAAGATCATGTGAAGAAAAGATCAAGGACAGAGACAGCAGACGGGGCTGTCTGGACACCGCCATCCATAGCACAGGGCTCACAGGTTCGTGACAGCCCCAGCCTCCGTGGAACAAAACTCATGGCCAGATCCCAGTCCAGGGCGTGTACAACAGGGTCCTGTGTCATTCACAGAAAGGCTGTGTGCCTCCAAGTTGGACAGACCTGGGCTTGCCTCCCGCTGCTACACTGGCACCAGTGTCCAGCCCAACTACTTAGTAGCTGTGTCCCCAGGAAAATCCATGAACCTCTTGGAGCCTCAAGTACCTCTTTACTAACATGCAGTTGTCACCGTTTACCTCCCAGGGCTACTATGATGATGAAGGACTTGCAAAGTGATGTTGCTTGATGCCTAGAAAACAGCATTCTTAAATTAATCTTATTCTTTCCTTCTGGTGATTGCTCGCTTCAATCTCCCCTTTCAGTGAAGAAGGAGAGCACCTGAAGCCAACTATTATTCACAGTAGGCAAATGTAATGATTTCAATTGCTATATCCGAAGAAAGGGGGCCAGCTCTGCACAATTCCAGCACCTCTGGAAAGCAAGATGAAAGGTGAAAGACAGATCACCCCAAGTCTTTAAAAACACACAGAAGTCAAAGAAAATGAGGGATGGTGAGTGTTAGACAGATATTTCTGAATAATACCAATGTATTTAATTATTCCTTTTTCTTTAAGAGAAGTATTTCTTTAAAGATTTATTTATTTATGGGCCTCCCCTGGTGGTGCAGCGGTTGAGTGCTGGGCTGCAAAGCTGCCCACAGCCTCTGCAGCGCCGGTTCAATCCCCGGCCCCCAGCAAAGGTCCCACATGGCGCACAGACCTCTCCTGTTGCGCCCGCTGCTCCCCTCAGCAGTGTATTTTGTTGGTCTGCCTGCTCTGCTTCCCGCTCTGGCTCTGGTGAATTTGCTTACCCTCCCGCACTTCTGACTATATCCAGTGCTTGTATAAATAAATAAATAAATCTTAAAAAAAAAAAAAAGAATGCTCATAATATTTTACTATAATAATAAAACTTTAAAAATAAATAAATAATATAAATAATATAAATAAATAAAGATTTATTTATTTATGCATACAAGAACTGTGGTACAGACCAGAGGTGTGGAGGCTAAGAGGAGTCACCAGACACAGAGTAGGGAACAGAACAGGCAGATCAACTGAAATACACTGCTGAGGGGAGCCGCGGGCAAGTCAAGAGAAGTCTTCTGTGCCTGATGGGTCAGCTCCCTGGCTGGGAATTGAACTCATGCTGAGGTGGCTGCAGATAGCTTCATTGTGCTGCATCTTAATCCCTTGTGCCAGGGAGGCCCTTAATTATTTCTTCTCTGAGATATCTGGATTCAGATCAGTATAGTCATTTCCCAACTACAAATACTGCAAAACAGAAACAAATAAATTTTCCCATATTTAAAATAGGTCAGAAATGTTATGAAACAACTCAATACAGCATGTTCTCAAATAACATCATTCTGTTCAACATTTCCTTGTAACATGGATGAGATAAAGGAGATATTAGATGACTTTGAAAGAAACCACCTCATTTGGTTTTATTTTCTAACAGGAGCCCCAACTCCTGGCTTGGAGATGCAGCAGGATACGCCTGGCTCTGCTGTAGGCCCCTTGTACTCACAACTACACCTGGCATGAGCTGGGCTTGACAGCTAACCCCAGCAGAGGGCTGAGTTTTGAAGCTCCGATGGGGAGTGGGTTTTAAAACCTAAGTGGTTTTAAAGATGCACCATCAGGCTTGAGCTCATACCAGTGCTGGTCAAGTTTAGGAAATAGTGTGAAACCTGGGCACCCTGAAAGGGGTATGAGCCACGGCAGCAGACATATTTGGGCACTCAGATCTCCCAGACTCATTGAGACATGCTTTCCTAGGACATCCTTCACTTCAGATCTTCAAGACCTTCGGTTCCTGTCTTCAGTTCTCCAACTCTAGGCTTGAATTGTCAGTTGCTGCTGCCTGCTCTCCAACACTGCAGGCTGCTGTTTCTGCCTCCAGCTCAGTCTCCACATTAACTGCTCATAGGTGCCCTGGCATGTGCCCAGCACCTCTGAAAGAGCTGAACACTGGTGTCTGATCATCTGGCACCTCCTCTGAAAGAGTTTGTCTGCCAGCGCTTGGTCCTCTGGCACCATCTCGGAGAGCTGTCCACCACTTCTGATCCTCGGGCACCACCGCCTGACCACCGCTCCTGCCTCCAGCATGTCTGGTACCTCTTCCTGATGCTGTTACCTCCAACACTGTCCAGTCCAACCTTCAGTGGCTGCTGGCTACTGTGGTGCCACTCAGCAGTGCCACCTGTGGCCACTTCCAGCTGCCACCATCAGTTGGGTCCTGGTCCACCACTTACTGGTGTGCCACCAGCTCAGGCTCTCAACAAAGAGACAACACCATCCTGTGCAAGCTGCTCTTGGTTTGGATACCGGACACCGCAGCCATTATGTGGGATAGGACAGACAGCCATTTGTGACTTTAGAAATTCTTTACTTTTTCCTTATCTCTCCCAACTTCCCCCTTATAAATAAATCTGTTGCACTCTCAGGCTGGGTCACATCTTGCTATTGTAAGTGCACAGGTGAGAACCCACGAACTGTGACATTTCCCCCAAGGTCTTCATGGTGTCAGTTTTATGCCATTCCAGTTCAGGTCTCCGTTTTGAAGTAGTATGCAAACATCATGAAGGGAGGCCTTACTGGAGTGCCTATGCCGCAACACTCACTTGCAAGAAACCAGAACAACACTGAGTCATCTCCCCATGTGCTCCTTCCTGCTGAGT